TTTTTACCGATTTCGTTTCATTTCTTCTGCACACTTCCGCCTATATCCTTGCCTAACACAACTTATAGTTAACACTGTTTGAGAAAGTAACAAAGGGAAGAATAACGAACAAAATTTAATTATAAATACTATAAATATATCTGACACTCAAGACCAGACTCTGATCACCTTCAAAGTAACAGTGAGACGTAAATGGCGTCATTTTTATGCAAGTCGTGTTGACTCGAATCACTGACGGTACCGTACTACATCCCAAGTGACAGTTTGATGTTTTCCGCTAATGTGCAGCTAACATGTGCCAACGTCGGGAAATGGTTATGGGGATCAGCAGCACTCTGTTAACTATACCGATAAGTTATACCAATACTATAACTACACTTGTTAGCGATGCCTTTCTTGTACATTTATGTATACTTACTTTGTTTCAATTTGTCATTCCTTTCTTACATTTAGCTTAATATATTGCACCTTTCTCTATCGTGAAATTTGTGACATCTTATCCCCTGTTCATTAGCAGATGGTTGGCTGGTCCATTATTTACGCGCCGCTCTCCTAAAGCTCAGTGTGACTGCTACGAAACTTTTCCGACAGACTTTCAGGAAAGTGTCAAAAACGGAAATCTTTGGCGACAAACGACATTGAATGCACGGTCGTTACATTCGTATGCTGAATGTAAAATAGTACAGGTACTTATTCGCTGCATGCAATGATTAATTTGAAAATCAAACATTTTAGCATATGCTGAAAAACAGTTTCTCTGTGACTCCATTCAAGCAGTAAACGTTAAAACATCAAACTTGAATATATTGCTTTTCGCGAACTAAGTAATTTACCTTCCCCTAAGATACAGTGCGCTGATGGAACACAGGATGCTGTACTTAAGCGGAATTTTCGTCTATAACCTTGAAATAATTTACAGCTTAATTTTCTTTAACAACTCCGCATTGAAAAGCTTGGGATAATTTGTTTTCAATGTCTTCCGCTTACTTACTTAAGACGTTTTTCTCTGGCATAAGCGCTCTTTCTTCTTGTGATATATCTTTCGTGCGTGGTATTCCTTTCCTCAAGAAAAGCTCGTTTCGCTGACGTAAACTAAACCACATGAGTAGGGTCCCCCAATCTCACATCTATTTTTCCTGTCTTTCGGTTTTCTTTGCAGTGTTTCAACGGATTTCAAAACAATGTTCAGGCTTGCTTTACACGTTGTGTAAAATAAATTTTCGCTCAATTTACGAACGTAAAGTAGGGTGAGGTAGATCTTACCGCCGAGTGAGCAGCGAGAAACGGATAGTGTTATCACTTTTTCCAGATCTATATTGAGCGCAATAGCCTGTAAACAGTTTCATGTCTACCTGAAAGGATCAATGACAAGTGTAGCAGTACCAATAACAGGGTTATACTAGACTGGCATGAAAGTAACGTCGTGCAAAACTCATTGTTACCCTGAAGAGATGAACGAAGTTTTGTCCGAAACATCAGTATCTTTGCAAATTGTTTATGCGTTGTTCTGCCGTTTGTGACTTTCCTAAACACTATCATCTACACCACAAAGAACAGATGCACAATTTCCATAGCTAGAAATCAAATAAAACATTGCACATTTTTGCGCTTCGAAAAGTAACGATCAATGGTTAAAACAAGTCTCTTCTATCAAACAGTGGCCCTAAATTTGGAATGAAAAAATAGCGCAGAATTAGAAACTTCACTGAAAACAACACAGCCATTATTTGTATCACGACCATTACAACCAATGCAAAAATATAAATACTTACATAAACGGAAAACTGCCTTGGAGCAGAATCAATATTTCCATCGGGAGAGAGACTTTTTGGAATATGCTCGTATGAGAAACCGGTTATATTGACTACTCCGCTAAGCTGAATAACGAGGCTGCCAACACTACCTTTGAATGCCCAACATTCGCCAGGAGAAATATGGGGCTTCAATGTACAGCAAGGTTTAACAGTTAGAAAACATGGTTGCTTACCTGTATGACAGTCCTAGGCGAGTAGGAAGAGTACCATAATGGCATTCCAAATATGCTTTCTAGTCTTGTTCGCGGATTAAACGTCTCGGTACAACGAGTACTAACAATACTACCGCCTGCAAACAGAGTAAAATCAGTGTTTCACGTAAAAAATGCATCTGAGACATTCTGGGGAAAAAACAAATAAATAATATTAGTGGAGGACGGCAGAAAGAAGCTGAAAGAAATTTTAAAAAATAATGCAGAATAAAACTTAAAATTAATATCAAACAGAATTATACTTATTAGCTTATCAAAAGGTGACAATAAATTTTTCGCTGAGCACCAGATACTGTCGAAAAAGCTTCATGACATCACAACCGCACACAGTGATATGAGGATATGAAACAAGTTCGTATAAGTTTATAGAAACTAATGCTGAATCTTATCAGTTACTGAAAAATTGTAAACGGCCGCTCAGAGAACATCATCATCATTCGAAACAGGTAAATGTAACGCGGTTGAATTTTGAAAGTTAAGACGCATAGAAAAGCATTAAAGCAAAGCAAGAAGAAAACATTACAGATCAGATTATTGCTGAATAATGTCTCATGGAACTTCCCGTGAATAAGAAATTCATCCCCAGAGCTTCAGGACAACTGTCTGAAACGACCGTGGCAACCTGTAAACAACAGACACGTCAGGGAATTGTAGTACGACACTTATGGTCATGCCCTCTTATGAGTGTACTTGCGGATGCAGTTCGCTTTAACTTATATGGAAGTTTACTAATTCAAGACAAGGCGCAATCAATAAACAAACAGAAAAATATACACAAATAGCATATAACGTGCCAAGTGTGAATCGTAGATTAAGCTGCATCGATTTTCCATAATGGATTTCCAAATACACAGAAAAAACTATACCTGAAGATTCAAGAGCATGGTCTGCCATCCCAGTTTTATCTGCATCATACTTCGCCAACAGCTTGTCGATGTACTCATAAATCTCACGTTTATTACAGCCTGAAATAATTAGCATAAACGATTTCAAAGGATAGAACGTGACATGGTAGCAATTTCATGTTATACAACAAACAGAAACAATCTCACAATACCTAAACACCATTAGAATAATATCCTTATCTTCATCTTCTTAATGACAACGACGAAAATGGTCATTTTTGCAGTCTTTCCAGAATACCGGGGTCATTAATGACGCATGTAAATGTAAGGGGGTTGATTTTACCGCCGATGCTGAGTTACTGTTCAGGCAGGTAGTCCAACCCAGTTACTGATCGAACACGAATTTGTTCGACTAAGCACTGAGAAACGGTATAACTGCCCTGCAATGCAGGTGCTTACATACAATAGAGCCGTAACTTGTCTGTCTCTTAGGTATCAATCAGCAATTAGAGAGTACGATTATGCCGTCTAAATGCAGTGAAGGGAAAGGATATCAAAGAGAATGTTACGCTACGGAACGAGCACAGATTTTTCAACTTACAATACAAACAAAGGAATACTTTATACAAGAGAAACAATGGCGACGGGTTATAAGAGCAATGTTTCGATGTACATAATCGATTTGTATAACGAGAACGATGAGTTCAAGAAATCCTAACAAAATAGAGATAAATCAACGCCAATTTGACAGTGGGAACAAACACAAATCTGGAATACAACCTAGAGATAAAACAGAAATGAAGCCTATGCCTTTCGGAGCAAGTAGACAGTTTAGTAGAATGTGATTACGATAAACTGGTTTGATAAAGTTATGCTTAACAGTATAATACTTCCATGGTCTGAACACATTCTGAAGTCGCTAGTAAAGCATAAAACGAGCATCGATTCCCTGAAACATGGTTGGTGATGCATCAAGAACGACAACTTATGCATCAAAAAAAAGGAGGCAGCAGAATGACACTGAAATGCACTGCTGTGGTATCATGGTATTAAAAACGAAAATCGTGAAAAAACTTTTGATTGGTATAAAATATACAACTACGTTCAATTGGTCAGGAAGACAATCAATAAATTAGTCACTTAAATTAGTCACTGTTTATCAATTACCAAACGAGACAGGCCAGTCAAATATAAAGAATGCGTAAAATACACGCTCTGAACGCATTTTTGACTTCAAAATTAAACCTCTATGAAAATTTAAAATTCAGGCCATCGGTCCGTCGATCAATCAGTAAGAGAGGCAGTCAAGCAGATACGCAGTCAGTCATTCTCTTCATTTCATAGCAACAACCTCTAGATACCATTGGTTAACAGTGATACTAGCAATTAATACCAAATCCATCTGTATTAGTTTTGGTCAGAGATTTTTAAAAAACAAGATTTTTTTAAGGAAAAACAGATGTATCCTTTCTTGTTCATTAACGACCTTTCTAAGGCCGTTTTCAGATTCAAATTTATGTTTATATGTAATGCCCACTATGACAAACGCATATCACTGCAATTCGCCTCGGCCTGCGACCTCTCCTTCATCTGTTGCTGTTTCTTCTCCGTAGCTGGAATTATTGCGCTTAAACACAGAAGTCGTTAGGTTTGATTATATCATAGTGAGTAATACGTTGAGAACTATAGCTGTTTTGCTTATTCGATAACTGGATACTGGATATCCATTTGAAGATTATCTTTGCAAAATTTAGCGTAAATTTCTAATAGAATTCACAGGTACTCTTCGTAAACTCTAAACTTCTTCAAACCTGGGAAAATTTGCAACATGTTATATCGTATCGAAAAGAAATTCTGCAAGACTACGAAGACTGTGCAGATAAACTATCTCTATTCATACATTCTGAGCCTTTGCTTCCATACTTGAACATGGCGAAAGTCGGGGAAATTCAGCGAAATCTAGCCTGCTTAACATACTGTTGCTCATGCAGTTATTTGCTTAAGCAACTGATATCTGATTGAGTGAAACTTGAAAATCATTGCGAGTGAAAACAGTGCATAGAATATAAGACACCAATTGCATATATCTGCTGTGCGGTTTGATCATGTTAAGTGCTAAACATAAACGACAGCCTGTAAACAGAGCGGATGGTCACAACAGATGCATTCCACGCAAATAACTACAAGCAGTTACTTACAAATAGTTTGATGACATCTCCCTCGACCAAAACTGGCTAACATATGCCGGCAGTTAGAAAGTAGGTCACTACGAGTTTCACAATCTTTCGTCAAACTGTTCAATCGAGAGAGCAGCAAAAAGTGTTGACTGTGCAATTCGTGAACAGCATTCCTCAGCATTCGAATTTGTCCAAGGGCGAAACTAGAACAAAAGAATGAATCATGTCTAAAACTCACTACACAACACTTACAAGCGTTCGGCGGTTTGCTGAGACTGATGCGTATCAACTCTGAGGGACAGACGATCGTACGCTGCTTCAAACGAAGACAACGCCGTCATCAGGTCTGTTTCGTTCATATCGTAAAACAGTTCTGTTCTACAAAATCAACGTTCGAAAAGTCACAAGTTTTCACATCTACCAGTACTTGTCAAAATATGCTCGATCATGTACCACCATTTCAGACTTATCAATCGCATCCTGCTCCTAAAAGGAATCTTCTGTAACAGACGCCCGACTGCTGTAACTAACCGTTTTCAATGCCGGGAGAAAGGCAAGACGCCAGCTGAAAAAGCAGTCTTTCAAAAAGTTTCCTAAAATAGGTAACTTAGACAACTGGAAAAAATACGATAGAACATCACTGAAAGATGTCTAACAATTTTTTAACCATAAAAAATGTTTTAGGGTCTGTTTCTCTGCAACTGCAAACAGGATTAGAGAATTTCAAGACGAAACTTGGAAAATAACGATTTTCGTCGAGTAGCAAACGATTTTATGTACTGGTCATCGACATTCATTGTCTGATACGTTAAAGCCGGTAGATTCTGCCTTATGTAATTTTGAACATTAAAACAATGATATTAAATAAACTAAGTCAACCAGCTACCAAGGAATTTCAAAGCAATATCAGATTTTTTATCAATATCAATTTATCAAAAGATAGCACTATCTAACTGACGGATTTCTTCATTAAACTTAACCGATTTCTGAAAAATTAAACTCATATTTTTTATCACTATCGCCATCATCATGATTGTATTCGACATGAAATTCTTGTCAAAATCATTATTATAATCATCATGGGATAACTGCGCAATCAGTGAGTAATTCCTTTCGCACAGTAGAAGCACGGGGTTCAAACCAAAGCCCGCGGCGTCAATTTTCTCTAAATTAACTACGAATCTCATTAAGTATGAATTCACTCCACTGTGCTTCCGTGCAACAAGCGGAACAAAGCGTTCCAGGTCGGTAACCTGCAAATAACAGGGACAGCGTGGAGCCTTCGTGTGATCATGTCAGAGCAAGTGAGGCATACGGTCATGCAGTTTAATGCATGAAGTTGCAGCCTGCAATTCGTCTTGACCCACTTTACACTTGACTAGAGATCAGTACAAGTTGTAAACAGAAATTTAAAATAATATTACTAAGACCGCTTTCTCAGACGAGTCGCTGGCCTTACGCGTCTCGACATGGTTCGGAACAGTGACATCCGGAAGAGCCTTGGAATAC